ACAAACACATCTATTGTGAGAATTGGTTGAAGTAATTAGAATTTGCTACTCTGCATAGGAAAAACTTATGGAGAAGGTGATTATAATCTTCAAGAATTCAAATGTTGTTATGAGGAAGACGGGATTGACAGTTGTTCTGCTTGGCCCTAGCGGACAGAACAAGGAATAACCAGTAAAAGTTAACAAAGACAAACACAGGATTAATATAAGGAAAAACAATCCTCCTGAAACATTTCTATAAAGCAAAATAGACTGTATTTGGAGGTACTTTTCACTATATGTTTTCAGGCAAAGTCTAGAAGGTCAATAGCCAAAAATATTGTAAAGGAAACTTGGAGAATAAATATAAGGTTGACTAGAAGACATTTACTATATCCTACAGCTATAAATTTCCATAATTCTATAATTTATTATGTGAAGAATAAAAAGAATTGACTTTATGTTTTAAATGCTTTATATTTTCAGTAATTCTAATTCAATTGAATTTTAATAATTCAATAATTCAATTTTCAATTGAATTCAAATACTTCAATAATTCAATTATTGTTATTGAGTCATTTTTTTCAGCAGTAGCTGTCTCTTCACGACCCCATTTGGAGTTTGCTTGGCAAAGATACTGAAAAGGTTTATCATTTCCTTCTCCAGCACATTTTACAGATGAAGAAACTGGAGTAAACAGTGTTAAGTGGCTTGCCCAGAATAACACAGCTAGTAAGTGTCTGAAGTACATGTAAGTCTCTCCAGAATTTTCTGAAATCAGCCTCTTCGTCATTTCTTATAAGACAACAGTATTCCATCACAATCATGTGCCACAACTTGATAAGTCATTCTGCAATTGACAATCATCACTTCAATTTCCAATTCTTTGCCACCATAAAAATAACTTAACAAAATAACATGAAAATAACACCATAACGTAAAAACATTGTGAATATTTTTGTACAAATAGATCCCCTTCCCTTTTCTTTGATCTCTTTGGGATTCAGTGCTAATGCTGGTATTGTGGAATAAAAGGGCATGCATAGTTTGATAGTCTTTTGGGAATACTTCCTAATTGGTCTTCAGAATGTTTGGACTGTTTACAACTCCAACAAAAGTGCCTTAGTAGGAGCAGCTAGGTGGTGCAGTGGATAGAGCACCGGCCCTGGATTCAGGAGGACCCGAGTTCAAATCTGGCCTCACACACATATAACACTTACTAGCTGTATGACCCTGGGCAAGTCACTTAACCCCATTGCTGAGCCAAAACATAAAAAACAAACAAAGAAAAAAGTGTCTTAGTGGCCCAATTTCTTCGCATTCCCCTCCTCGATTTCTCATTTCCTTTTTCTATCATGTTAGTCAACTTGATAGATATGAGATGGTATCTCAAAGTTGTTTCAATTACATTTAAATAATCAGAAGTTATCTAGAGCATTATAATGTGACTTATAATAGCTTTGAATTTTTTTTCTAAAACTGCTTATTTACGTCCTTTGACAATTTATCAATGGGGAAGCATTTATGTTTTTATAAATGTGGCACAATTTTCTATGTTTTGGGAAATGAGGCCTTCATAAGAGATATTTATTGTAAATTTTTTTCCTGGTTTCCTATTTTCATACCAATTGTGGTTAGATTAGTTTTAGTTCTGTAAAAGTTTTTTTTCTTTACTTCACGTAATTAAAATTATCCATTTTACATCATCTGTTGCTCTCTTGTTTGCTCATGAATTATTCCCTCATCCATAGATCTGAAATGTAACTTTTCATGCTACTCTAATCTGCTTATGATATCAGACTTCACATCTAAGTCATTCATCTATTTTGACCTTATCTTGGTATGCAGTGTGAAATATTGGTCTATATTTAGTTTCTGTGAAACTTCCTTCCTGCTTTCCCAGCAATTTTGGTCAAATGTTGAGTTTTCTCCCCAAGCTTGGGTCTTTGGGTTTATCAAAGACACTAGATTACAATTACTACTGTGTATTGTGCACCTGATCTATTCCACTGATCCACCACTTAGCCATTACCAGATCACTTTGATGATTACTACTTTGTAATATAGTTCAATATATGGAAATGCTAGGCCATTTTCCTTCATTTTCAAAACATTGATTCTCTTGATATTCTTGACATTTTGTTCTTCCAGATGAATTCTGTGAGTATTTTTTTCTAACTATTTCTTTTTTTGCTAGTTTGATTGGTATGGCACTGAATAAGTAAATTAAGAGGTAGAATTGTCATGTTATATTATTTTTGGATGGGTTTACCCATGAACAATTAAAATTTCTTCATTTATTTAGATCTGTTTTTATTTCTGAACAAAGGGTTTTTTAATTGTGCTCATATAATCTCTGAGTTTGTCTTGGCAGGCAGTCTCCAAAGTATTTTCTATTGTCTGCTGTTATTTTAAAGGGAATTTCTCCTTTTATCTCTTCCTGTTGGATTTTGTTGGTAATATATAAGAATGATACTCATTCATTAGGATTTATTTTAGATCCTACAACTTTGTTGAAGTTGTTGCTTGTTTCCACTAGTTTTTTTAAGTCAACTTTTAGGGTTCTCTAAATATATCAACATACTATCTGTAAAAAGCGATAGTTTGGTTTCGTCTTTGCCTATTCTCATCCCTTCAGTTTTGCTTTCTTGTCTTATTGCTATAACTGGTAATTCCAGTTTGAATAATAGACATGATAATGAACACCGTTACTGCACTTCCAATCTTATTGGGAAGATTTCAAATTCATTCCTATTAAAGGTCATATTTGCTGATGGTTTTAGGTAGATGGTATTTGTTATTTTAGAAGCGTTTCTTTGATTCGTACACTTTCTAGTGTTTATAATAGGAAATGGTGTATTTGGTGAAATATTTTTTTTCTGCTTCTACTGAGATAATCTTTTTTTGTTATTTTGTTATTGATACCAATAGTTTTATTAATATTGAAGTAGCTCTGCTTTTCTGGTATAAAATGTACCTGTTCATAGTCTATGATCTTTTTTATGTATTGTAATCTCCCTGCCAGCATTTTTTTTACTTGCATTGATTTTCATTGGGAAATTGTCCGTAGGTTTCTTTGTTTTTGGACTCCATAGTTTAAGTATCAAAACCATATTTGTGTCATAAAATTAAGTTGGTAGCACATTTTTACTGATTTTTTTCCCCAATAGTTTCTGTAGTATTTGGGTATAATTGTTCTTTAAATGTTTCATAGAATTCATTTGTAAATCTATCTTGTTCTGGAGATATTTTTTCTTATGAAGCTCATTAATGGATTTTTCAATTTCTTTTCCTAAAATAGGGCTACATAAGTATTATATTTCCTCTTCCGCTAATCTAGGCATTTTATCCTTTTGTAAATATTTGTCAATTTCACCAAGGATTGTCAATTTTATTGGCATATGATGGTCAATATAACTCCTAATCCTAAAATAATTTAATTTTAATCTTCATTGTTGCTGCAGTCAACCTTTTCATTTCTGATATAGGTAATTTGATTTTCTTCTTTTTTTAATCAAATTAATCAATGATTTATCCGACTTATTTTTGTCATGAAATCAGCACCTAGTTTTTATAGGTCCATTTTTTACATTTAATTATATTAATCTCTCCTTTGATTTTCTAGATTTTTATTTTGTGGTTTAATTGGGCAATTTTAATTTCATTTATTTTTTATTTTTTATCTGCATATTAAATTAATTCATGTTTTTTTCCTTTTTACTGATTTAATTAAATAACTGGTTGTTTTATATAATTTGTTCTCAGACCTATTCATTCTTTAATATTATATTATTTAATTTCCAACTAACTTTTATTTTTTTATTTCCAAAGCTCTTTATTAAGCTTAAATTTTTATTGCATTATAATCTGAAAAGGTGTACCTAATACATCTGTTTTTCTTTATTTGCTTGTCAGATTTTTAGTGGTAGTACATGAACAGTTTTTATAAAGGTGTCATATACAGTTGAGAAAAAGGCATACTCCTTTCTCTTCCCATTCATTTTTCTCCAGAGTGCTATCATATCTAAATTTTCTAAAATCCTATTCACCTCTTTGACTTCTTATTTTTTTAATGGTTAGATTTATCTAGGTCTTATAGGGGAATGTTTAGGTTCTCCACTGGTAAAGTTTACCATTTGCTTCTGTAATTTAATTTTTCTTTTAACAGTTTGGATGATACACCATTTGGAGCATATATCTTAGTATTACTACTTCATAGTGCCTGGTACATTTTAGCAAGATGTAGTCCCTTGCTTATCTCTTTTAATTAGATCTATTTTTTTGCTTTTGCTTTACCTGAGATTATGAAAATTACTCCTGCCCTCTTTACTTCATTTGAATCATAATAAATTCTGTTCCAACACTTTATTTTAACTCTCTCTGTGTCTCTCCATTTCAAATGTTTCTTATAAAGAATGTATTGTAGGATTCTGGTGCCAATTTAGATTTGAATAAAGTACCAGTAATGTGCAACACTACTAATATTTTTCCTCCACTTTAACATCATGGGATCATTAGTTTCTACTTGCCAAATTCTAATTTTTAAGGAATTATTTTCTTTATAAAATTTTTGCACCTTTTTTTTTCCATTTGGCTATTTCTGATTTTTAAGGAGTAATTTACATCACTGTATTTTTATACTTCTTTTTCCATTTGGCTAATTCTATTTTTTTAATATAATATTTTTTCCTATATTTTGTGCCTTTTTAAACCAAGTTTTTAATTGTCTTTTCATAATCTTCTTCCTTTGCTCTCATTTATTTTTCCCCAATAATGTGTTTATTGACATCTTTGGAGGCCTTGTGACAGACAGCTGATAAAGGCCCTTCTATACTGTAGATAGGTGATTAATATTTTCAGGGATGGGAGCTTCTCCATGTGACAGACAGCTGATTTGGGTCTTCAGGGATGGGGGCTCTGCCAGTGACAGACAGCTGATCAATGTCTTCGGGGATGGGGGCTCTTTTTCTCCAGCTCTTCCATGTAGCCTTTGGCTGATCTGTGCTTTCAGGGATATGGGCTCACTTCTCCAGGGATGGATAGTTCAGAACCTTCTCTATCAGGTCCATGTGGGCCAGCAGAATCTGATGGCAGCAGTAGCACTTCAGGCCCAGTGATTCTAGGGCATCCCCTTTGGTGTACTCCACCTTCAGCAGGCCCAGGTCTGCCTCCCACTTGTTGGCCATGATCTTGACACATGTGAAGCAGTGCAACAGGATGATCATGGTGACGGCAAGGAGGTGGGGGCACTGGCAGCAGGCGCACACCTGGACTTCCCTCCTTGTCCTGCTCTCATTTCTTTATTTTTCCTCTTCTATTCTTATTTGATTTTGAAAATCAGTTTTATTTTTTTAATTCTTGTTGGGTTTGTGTCCAAATTATCTTTTTTTTTCTTTTGAGGCTTTGCTTGTAGTTGTTCTGACTGAATTGCTTTCTTCTGAATTTCTATCTTCATCTTCCATTTCACCATGGAAACTTTTTTGGTCAAGTTATTTTTGCCATTATTAATTATTGATTTTCCACCTTTTCTCTTAATTTGGAACTTGATGTCGGTTTTGGACTCTGTTACCCACATGTCTGGGGTGAGGTATATTGTATCAAGCTTTAGATTTTTTTTTTTTGCACTGCTATTTTGAGAGCTAATTCTGGGGGTTTGGAAGTTTTTGGTGTTTCCAACATCATGTGATACAGGGAGAAGTGTGGTCACTCATCTCCTGGTCTGCACTTGGGTATTTACTCAGGAAGGACTTCAGATCCCTTGGGATTACAATTGATACTACTCCTCAGGGCACCTGCTCCCTTGGGACAAGAAACAAAATTGTTCCTCAGATTTCCTGATTCCTTGGGGCTAGAAGAGATCCTTTCCCTCAGAGTTTCTACTCACTCTTGACCAAAAGTTCTCCTCCTTCCCTTTGAACTGTGACTCAAAAGTTAGTATAGACAATGGAATTGTGAAACAGTTTCTGGTCCTGTATCTAGTGCTGCTATCTATAGTGGTCCCCTGCAATCTCATCCTGACAAGTTGCCAGGTCCTCTTGCCATCTTCAGTTTGAGAATTCCTAAAGTTTCTGCTCCACCTAATCCCACCGCTAGTGTTTAATTTACATTGCCTCTGGGTCAGCCTCCTCCCCCATGTCACAGATATTTCTTTCTAATCTTCTTTGCTGTTTTAACCTGGAAGAATACGTCATTATGACCCTTTGTTAGCTCTGCCATTCCAGAATTTGATTTGAGGTATTATTTTAAAATTGTCTGGAAAAGAATGTTGAAAGAGCTCAGCTGAATGCTTTCTCTACTCCTTCATCTTCATTCTACCCCTGGAAGTCACTCTAAGATTTTAAATTTCAACTTTTAAAAGTATACTAATTATTAATTTTATAAAATCCCTCACATATTACCACTTGCGTATGAGTCCCTGCTTTTTTCTCAAGATGATGACATAATGATATGGTATATAAGGAATAAGAAGAAATCCAGCATTTGAATTTCACGTTGTGATTCTTCACTATAAATTTGAACATTAAAATCAATGGCCAAGCTGTTGAATTTTGAAATATTTCCAGTAATGTCAATATGTGGCATATACTGATTAGGACTTTACAAGAATGCCAGAAGTGCCTCCATGCATATTCATGAGTGTTATGAATAACTTGTATCTGATTCTACTGTCCCCTGGCTGTATAAGAAAACATCTGTGTAGAGCCAATGGTTCCTCATCCTCCCACACACATAAAATGAATGACCAGAATGCATTCCCTTCTCATTTCTGCCTTGTACAATACTGGCCTCCCTCAGATCACAGTTCAGCTACCACTTCCTACTCAAGGATATTCTTGATTTTCTTGGCATCCAATTCATTAACCCTCTTTCCCTCCTGAAATTGATTTCTTATACTTTCTGTTTAGTTTCCCTTTCCTTATTTATGTTCATGTTGCATCCACTCCCCATCCCCCCATCCAGAAAAGCACATTTTTTTTTTCTTTTTAACATCTGCCACAGTATTTTGACTACAATTCAGTATTCCAAAGGATCTGTGATCCCGACCATGGGGATATTTTCTCAAATGATGTGCACTGAACTCTCTTCTTGACATTTGGATTCTTGCCCGTCACTTTCCTTAAGTCTGCTATCCAATGTCCACTCAAGGTACTGAGTTATTTTGCTTGATTTTCCTGTTAGAATATTAATGGAACTATCTATCAGTTTTCCCTCATCTCACTATATAGCCAGACTATTTTCTATATTTTTAGATTATATGTTTTATACATTTCCTTGATGACCCCCATTATTACACTTCTCTTTTAAAATACTTCTTTCATAATGTTTGACAGTCTGCATATATCTCTTATATACCTCTCCACTGCCCTTTGAGTGATGATCATTTTCAATATGTAGATTTTACAATCCTACATGTCTCAGAATCATACAATACCACCAACTGAAGACTCATATTTTAAAAAAATGAATATTTGATTCAGGAAGATATTTGGGGTCATTAAAAGAACTCTGTAATTTCCCCAAAATAATAAAATATTTCATGTTTTTGTTGAATTTAATTAAAGGAGCATTTTAAGCATAGCTCAAAATTTCAGAGTAATTATTTTCATTCTTACAAACTTTTTACTTTATACATTTAATAAGAGAGAAACTTTAAAAAGCAGAAGTTAACTAATGTTAGCAAATTGGCCAAACATAAGCTTTTTTTTCCCCTTGTTTTTTGAGACAATTGTGCTTAAGTGGCTTACCCAGGATCACATAGCTAGCAAGTAATTATCAAGTGTCAAGTCTGAGACAGAATTTGAACCCAGGTCCTCCTGACTCCAGAGTCAGTGCTGTATCCACTTGTGCCACCTAGCTGTCCTGCTTTTTTTAATCTTAAGAAAATAAAAAAATGAATATTCTAGGTGTTTTAATAAGATATCTGAGCTTAAATCCTGTCTCTGATGTTTACTATGCCTGTGAACTTATGTTTACTTCCTACCTGAATATGTGAGATAACATTTGTAAAGTGTTTGACACTGTGCCAGGCACATGGTAGGCACTTAATAAATGGTTGTTCCCTCACTCTCTGAATCTTAGTTTCATAGCCTTAAAATGAGTGGAATGGGCTAAATTATTTTGGAGGCCCTTCCACATATAGATTTATAACCATCTCGTAGTATGATCCTATGCTTATAATTGCAGATATAGTTCTGTTGGAAGATCAAATAGAGAAGAAGACGCATAAATACTTTGGCTACATACTAAGAATACAGGACTCATTGGAAAAGACCCAAAATTGACACCGATTAAAGGCCAAAAAGAGGATGACAGAGAATGGGATGGATAGAAACTGTCAATGAAACAATGAACATGAACTTGGGCAGACTTGGAGATACAGTGGAAGATAGCAGGGCCTCACGTGCTGTGGGTCATAGAGTCACAAAGAATCAGACACGACTGAAACACAGAACAAGTATAAATCATAGTGTCATTCTTCAACTTCTCTAATTATAGGTGTCCTATAGAATCATGTCTTGGGCCCTCTTCTCTTCTTCACCTATACTATTTCATTCAGTGATCTCCTCAGATCTTGTGAGTTTTATTATCATCTCTGTCCTGATTATTCTCAAATTTGCCTTTCTTGCATTACCTTCTTCACTGACCTCTGCTTTTACATCTCTAACTGCCTTTAAGACAGCTTGAAGCAGATGTCAATTAGAAATCTTAAACCTAACATGTCTATGATTGAACTTATTATTTTTCCTCCTGAACCACTCCCCCATCTTAATTACCCTGTTACTATAGAGGGCAACAACATCTTCAATCCTTTAGACACAATCCAGGCATTGTCCTGAATTATTACTACCTCTCACCTACAATATCCAATATGTAGCCAAGGCATGTTGATTTCAACTTTTCAGCATCTGTTGAATCCACCCCTATTCTCCTCTCACATTGCTACTGCTATGGTGCAGGTCCCCTCACCTAATGCCTGGAATGTTGTAATAGATATGGTGTATCTACCTACCTCAAGTCTAACCCATCTTCTTTTCAACTACCAAAGTAATTTTTTCTAGCATAGGTCTGACCATGTCACCACCATCTCCACACACACGCAATAAACTTTACTGGCTTTCTATCATGTCTACAATTAAATAAAAAATCTTCTGTTTAGTGTTCAAAGTCCTTTATACTTTATCCTTCCTATGTTTCCAGTTTTCTCACACTTTATTCCTCACAACATACTCTTTTATCCTGTGACATTGGCCTCATTGATATTCCATGAAGATGACACTCCATATCTTGGTTTCCTGCATTTTTTTTTCTGGTTGTCCCCTATGCTTATAATGTTTCCCTTCCACATTTCCAAGCATCGTTAAATAGCAGGACAGGTAATATCCTCACAGATCTCTTGCAGTTTTCCAAGTAAATCATTTTATCATTTTATCATGAGCAAATAAGGATAGTGTTGTCTCCTATTTACCAATCTTTATTCCTTTAACTCATTTATCTTGCCTAATTAGTATTGCTAGCATTGCCAGAATTATATTAAATAATAATGAGAGCAGCTAGGTGGTACAGTGGATAGAGCACCAGCCCTGTTGTCAGGAGGATTTGAGTTGAAATATGGTCTCAGACCAGATACCTGACACTTACTAGTTTTGTGACCCTGGGCAAGTCACTTAACCCCAATTGCCTTGCAAAAAAATGGCAATGAGGAGAAACATCCTTGTTTCACTCCTGTATTTACTGGAAATGGTTCTATATATCATTATTGCATATTATATATATATATATATATATATATATATATTGAGATAAGTGCTTTTATGATATTAAAAAGGTAACTCTATGTTCATACCTCTTAGTGTTTTTAGCATAAAAGAAAGTTATACATTGTCAAAGACTTTTTCCTTCATTTATTGAGATGATTAAGCTTTGGATGCTTTATTGTTTACTAATCTTAATTATGTTAATTGATTTCCCAATGTGGAACTATCCTTGTATCTTTAATATAAATGTCACTGTAACATAATTAATGATTTTAAGAAATTGCTGCAGTCTCTTTGATAGGATTTTATTTAAAATGTTTTTTTTTTAATTTGCAATGTTCATTAACAACATTGGCCCATGGTTTTATTTCAATATTTTATCTTTCTCTGGTTTAGGTATAAGGAGTATATTTATCTCACAAAAGTTTTCTGGTAGGTTTTTTTCTTTTTGAATTGTTGAGAATACTTTG